AAATCTTGGAATAAATTTCCTGGCACTGGAAAGCAAACAGAGGATTTACCAAAAATAAGACAAGGACCTGATGAATTGTTTCAAGATTTTGTTTCCAGACTAATGACAGCAACAGGAAGGCTATTGAAGGATAATAAAGCTGGACTTTTGCTTGTAAAACAGTTGGCTTATGAGAATGCTAATACAGCTTGTCAAGCTGCCATTAGACCATTTAAAAAGAAAGGAGATATTTCTGATTATATTCGGTTATGCTCTGATATTGGCCCTTCTTATACTCAAGGGCTGACTATGGCTGCTGCAATGCAGGGAAAGACAATTAAAGATGTGCTTTTTTCAGCAAAGTTGACAGGTTCCAGAAAAAAGGAGGATTGTTGGACCACCTGGAAAGTGTTTTGGGTGTGGTCAGATGGGACATCAGATTAGGCAATGCCCCAATAAGGGAAACCAGAAGGAACCTGGATTATGCCCTAGATGTAAAAAAGGGAAACATTGGGTAAATGAATGTAAGTCAATAAAAGAAGTGCATGGAAACCCTCTGTCTGGAAATGAGCAAAGGGGCTAGCCTCAGGCCCCAAAACAATGTTATGGGGCACTCCAACCATTCGTTACTCAGCAAAGAAATACATTCAATACCTCTACAGAGCAACCCCAGGCAGTGAAGAATTGGACCTCAGTTCCTCCTCCTACACAGTATTGACTCCTGAAATGGGAGTCCAGACCCTGCCCACAGGCAGTTAAGGGCCTCCACTAGAAGGCACAATTGGTCTTTGCTTGGGAGAAGTAGTAAAACTACGCAGGGGATCTTTGTTGCTCCAGGTGTCATAGATACTGATTATGAAGAAGAGATTAAGGTTATGACTCATTCACCTAATGGAATTTCTGTTATAAAGACAGGGCAGAGACTTGCTCAACTGATTTTACTTCCACAAGTGCAAACAAAAAAATCAAGCTATACCAAACAAAAGGGGAAAAGCAGGATTTGACTCTTCTGATGCTTATTTATTACAAGCTATAGGCCCACAATGTCCAGAACTAATTTTATTTGTAAATGGAAAAAGGTTTTCTGGTCTTCTGGACACAGGTGCAGATATGTCTGTAATTACTGCTAATCAATGGCCATCTGCCTGGCCGAAACAACAGACCATGACACAAGTACAAGGAGTTGGTCAGTCTCAGAGTCCTGAACAGAGTAGTGATTAATTAATATGGAAAGATGAGGAGGGGCATGAAGGAAACTTCTGACCTTACACTGTTCCTCGACTGCCTGTAAATTTTTGGGTAAGAGATGTTATGAGTCGAATGGGAGTTTATTTGCATAGTCCTAATGAAGTAGTCACCAATCAAATGTTTCAACAAGGGTTATTGCCAGATCAAGGCTTAGGAAAAAGGAATGATGGATGTGTATCTCCTTTGCTTCCACAGCAAAGGCCTGATAGAGCTGGATTAGAGTATTTTTAGAAGGGGTCATTGGACAGTCTGTACCCCATGCAGACCCTGTGATTTGGAAATCTAATGAGCCTGTATGGGTGGATCAATGGCTCCTAACAGAAGATAAGATAATAGCAGCCCAGCAGTTAGTACAGGAACAGCTGGACAATGGCCATATAGAGCCTTCTAATTCTCCTTGGAATTCTCCTATTTTTGTTATAAAAAAAGAAATCAGGCAAATGGAGGCAAATTACAAGATCTTAGAAAATAAAACTATGCTGTTGATGGGTGCTTTGCAACCTGGATTGCCCTCCCCTATAGCAATACATAGTAATATATATATATATACAATTATATTGGATTTAAAAGATTGTTTTTATACTATTCCTTTAGCTCCTCAGGATTGTTAAAGATTCGCTTTTAGTAATCCCTCTGTGAATCTTAAGAAACCAATGAAAAGATTTCATTGGAAGTTTTTGCCTCAAGGAATGGCTAATAGCCCAACATTATGTCAAAAGTTTGTAGCTCAAGCTATACAACAAGTTAGGGCTCAGTTTCCACAAGTTTATATTATCCATTATATGGATGATATTTCACTTGCTTATAAGGATGAGGAAATTTTATTAGGTACCTATGGCCAAATACAACAAGATTGGGCCCAAACAGAATTAATTATAGTCCCTGAAAAGGTTCAAAGAGAGCCACCTTTCTAGAATTTAGGATATATATTATATCCTAAGGAATTAAAGCCTCAAAAATTAGAAGTAAAAAAAGATGAGTTAAAAACATTGAATGATTTTCAAAAGTTATTAGGAGACATTCAATGGTTACGATCTTATTTAAAATTACCTACTGGTGATTTAGAACCTTTATATGATATTTTAAAAGGATATAGTGATCCCAATTCACCTCGACAGTTAACTAAAGAAGACAGGTTCTTGCGCAGGTTGAGAATGCTATTCAATACCAACAGATACATTATATTAATTATGATCAACCTTGACAAGCATATATCCTGCCCACTAGACTTACTTCTATAGCAGTATTATGGCAAGATGGTCCTCTTTTATGGTTACATCTTCTCGCTTCACTTGTTAAGGTATTATATCCATATTGTGAAGCTGTAGCATGTCTAGTACAAAGTCAAGTTAAATCCAAAAGGTGTTTTGGCAAAGAGCCAAAAACTATTGCTATGCCATTCACTCAACAACAGATTGATTGGCTATTTCAAAATAATGATTCTTGGGCAATTGCTTTTGCTCAATTTCTAGGTCAAATTGATAATCATTATCCTGCTGATCAATTATTACAGTTTTCTCGGATACATTCCTTTATCTTTCCTAAAGTAGTAATGCATACTCCAGTAGAAGATGCTGCTTTGGTCTTTACTGACGGTTCATGTAATGGGAAATCAGCTCATATGATCATATATCAAAGGATATATAGTTCAAACTACTCCTGCCTCAGCTCAAGTGGTTGAATTAAGAGCTGTCACAATGATCTTTCAAATTCTGAAAGATAATTCATTTAATTTATATACAGATAGTCAATACACTTATAGAGCTCTTCAAGTTATAAAAACTGTTTCTTATATTAAAATTATTAATGAACAAATATGGAAGTTATTTTAACAAATTCAGGATGCCATTCATTTAAGAAAATTGCCATATTTTGTGGGACATATAAGAACACATTCAAATCGTGGTCCATGGGCTGAAGGTAATGCTTTAACTGATAAATTTACTCAGTTGATCACTTTATCTCAAGTTGAACTTGCTCAGCAATCACATGCATTACATCATCAAAATAGTAAAAGCTTAAAAAAAATTTGACTTAACAAGAGAAACTGCTCACCAAATTGTTAAAAAATGTGCTACATGTCCTCAATATCCAACTGTACCTCATTTTGGAGTAAATCCTCGATGTCTTCTTCCTAATCATTTATGACAAATGGATGTCACTCATATTATAGAATTTGGAAAACTGAAACATGTACATGTAACTATAGATACTTATTCAGGATTTTTTTTTTTTTTTTTTTTTTTTTTTGGTTTTTCGAGACAGGGTTTCTCTGTGTAGCTTTGCGCCTTTTCCTGGAACTCACTTGGTAGTCCAGGCTGGCCTCGAACTCACAGAGATCCGCCTGGCTCTGCCTCCTGAGTGCTGAGATTAAAGGCGTGCGCCACCACCGCCCGGCTTTATTCAGGATTTTTAATGGCTACTTCTCAAATTGGTGAGGCTATTAAGCATGTAACTGATCATTGCCTAAAATGTTTCTCCTATATGGGGATACCAAAAGTTATTGAAACTGATAATGGATCTGGATATGTTAGTAAAGCTTTTTATCAATTTTGTTTTCAATGGCAAATTGAACATAAAACAGGCACTCCTTATAATCCTCAAGGAAAAGGTATTGTTGAGAGAGCTTAGAGCAGCCTCAAGATACATCTTAAAAAATTAAGGAAGGGGGAGTTATATCCCCAGTCACCACACAATGCTTTAAATCAGGCCTTATTTGTTTTAAATTTTTAAAATGTGCATGCTGCTAGAAAATCTGCAGCTGATCAATTTTGACATGAAGACACCACTACTAAATTTGATCTAGTTAAATGGAAAGATCCCTGTACTGGCTTATGGAAGGGCCCCAACCCTATATTGATATGGGGACTAGGGCATGTTTGTGCTTTTTCTCAGGAAGAAAATAAAGCTCGTTGGTTGCCTAAAAGATTGGTGCGGTGTATGGAGTAGAGAGATGCTGACCCTGATGTTGCTGATGACCATCCAGAGATGCCAAAGTGAGACCTATTGGGCCTATGTTCCTGATGCACCAATTTTACATCCTGCAACTTGGGAAGGAAAAGAAATTGTGGTTGTGGTTAATGATACTAGGCTTTTAGAGAGACCTATCACCCAAGAGTTCCAGATTACTCACAATTTTTCTTATATTGCATATGGTAAAGGGATCCCTATATGTTTTACAAAAGATATTACTTTAGAGGGATGTCTTGGAATGTTTCCAAAACAAGTGTTGGAACATGATAAAAAATGTGCCAGTTATACAAAGTTATTGCTTCCTCAAGGTAATTGGACAAGTAATACTTCACTACCTCAACAATTTCCTTCATGCACAAAAGAACTGCGAGAGTCTAACAGAACTTTGTTTTGGAGATGATGCACTGGTATTGTTCCTTTAAGGTACAACATCACAGGGATACCATAGTATATTCTTGACTGATCCAGAAATCAGGAAGACTAAAGTGACTCTTATGCTGTGTCTACAGCAGAATCTTGGGGCCAAGGAATGTCAGCTGGAATTTGGTATTCCAGTACTGGATCTCCACAAACTTATGTTTGGAAACTTGCTGCTGCTATGGGAACAGTCAGAGGACATTCCAGTCATTTGAAACCTGTTTGCCCTTTGAAAGAAACTGTTTTAACTTGTGTTAAAATGCCCTATGTTCTTTTAGTTGGTGAAACAAATATTTCTATGAATGGTTCTGTGTTTAATGTATCATGTCTTAATTGTATTTTGACCAATTGCATTTCCCAAATGGATAATCACATTCGTGTAATAGTGTTAAAACAACCTTTATTTGTTATATTGCCAGTATATGTGAATGATCCATGGTTTGATGATAAAGGGCTATAAGTAATTGAAGAAATTAAGAAAGCTTTAAGCAGGCAGAAACATGTTGCTGGATTAGTTATAGCAGGAATTACAGCTCTTGTCACTATGCTTTCTACTACTACAGTGGCTTCAGTGGCTTTGTCTCAATCCATTCAGACAGCACAGTTTGTGAATCAATTGTCTAGGAATGTCTCTATGACATTAGAGACACAAAAATATATTGATGTAAAAATGGAACATAAATTGAATGCTTTATATGATATGGTACAATGTTTGGGAGATAAACTCCAAAGTCTGAAAGCTAGAGTGCATTTGAAATGTCATGCTAATTATGAATGGATTTATGTTACATCTTCTGTGTACAATGAAAGTGCAATTGGATGGGAAAAGGTTAAGGCACATCTTAAAGGAATTTGGCATGATTCTAATGAATCCTTAGATTTGGCTAAATTACATCAAGAGATTATAGAAATGAGAAAGGCTAAATTGGATTTTGATGCAGTTAAGACAGCTAAAGATATTCTAGAACAATTTAAAATGGATATCGCATCATCGTCATCATTTATTTCGCTCTTAAGTAGTGTTATAGCTATTGGAGCATGTATCTTAGTAGACATAATTTGTTTGCCTATAATTCTCAAGTTGATTTTGAACTCATTACGGAGGTTGGGCTCATAACTCCAGAGTAAAACTCTGCACATTCCTCTGACTCAACACCAGAAGCTGGTAGCCAAGGACAGGTAAGTTTTCTTTGCCTCCTTTCAACCTAAGACAGGCTGTGAATGATGAAATTCATGCTGCCATGATGGGTAAGATTGGAATGTGATAAGAAAACACCTAAGACAGGCATGATCATTAGAGACTCAAAAGAGTCTTAAAATAAATAAAAAAGGAGGAATTGTGGGAGCCCACAACTGGCTCAGTTTCCCAGTTTGAATCTGAAGTCTATTCTGAGTCAACAGAGTTCAAGATTGTCTGCTCCAAGGCTGTGAGAAAGTTCTGATTAGCCCACAGAGTCTCCTTGAAGGGCTGTGAGAAAGTCCTGATAAGCCCATATGAGGGAATATACTATCTAGCTAGATGCAGGCTGCTGATGCCTTCAGTGGTACATTGAGATAGAAAATGAAACTGCCTGTTCCTGGATGCAATGACTGAGTGCCTGTGCTGTGCATTGTTCTACCTCTGTCCTTCAAGACTGTATATCAGCTGGCTGTGAAGTAAACTGGGGGCTGTGCAGCATTGACCAGCAGACCTCTCGACTCTTTTCTGTCTTCTTCATTGTCTCTACAATCCTCACACCTCTATCCAGCTCCCCACCTGACTGTCAGAAGGCTATGATATTACAGGAGTCCACTCACTTGATCCCTCATGACGCCTTCCCAGTAGGATGCTGACCCTCTGGAAACAGTATGATGGCCAGATGCATGTGCTGTAATCATGGTTAAAACATTTCAGTATAAATATGTCTAAAACCAAAAAGGATTAATTTACTTGGGGAGAATTTAATACATGTATGTTAAATGTTTTATTTAATCCCACATTCTTTCACCTGTTGTTTCTTACCCTTAAAAACACTTTACTCTCCCAATTTGGTGGGGTTTTTCTGTGTTATTTCTTCATTCCACTTAGTGCTCCCTCCATGTGTAGGGGTGTAGGACGGTTGACTGGAACCTGGAATACTCTAAGAATGACTGTCTCCCTCAGGAGCCATCAATTGCCAAATAGCTCCTCCACAGGGTGAGACATTGTGAGTCCCTTATGCAACCATGCTTATTGTATGCTGGGGGATAGCCTGTGTAAGTGTTATACAGGTAGCAATAAGCACAGTATGTTCAAGTGTAGACTAATTGAAAAACAGTCTTATTAATAAAAAAATATGGAGCCAGATAGTGGGGTAAATTCTGAAAGATCAGAGAGACGGAACAAGCCACAGCCAACTTCACCATGCCAACTCCTCAGATGATCTTGTCTCCTCAGATGGCAGGGTTCTGAGTCTTCACCCAAATGGATCTCAGCTGAACTCCTGCTCAAAAGCCTAAAAGCTTAAAAGCGTCTAGTTCCTGGTCCTCATGTCTTGCATACCTTTCTGCTTCCAGCTATCACTGTCTGGGATTAAAGGTGTGCGTCACCATGTCTGGCTATTTCCAGTGTGACCTTGAACTCACAAAGATCCTCATGGATCTCTGCCTCCCAAGTGATAGGATTAAGGGCATGTGTACCAACATTTTCTGGCTTCTATGTCTAAGCCGGTGGCTGTTCTGTTCTTTGACCCCCAGATAAGCTTATTGGGTTGCACAATATATCAACCACATTCAAGCATGAATGGTACTGACATTTCTAGCAACGTTTCACTGTTCTAAAAATGAGTCAACATTTCTACTGTTTCACTGCAGACATCTATTTCTTCCTCTGACATTCTTTCTACCTCTATTCCCTCAGGATTCCCTGACTTTTGGCTTTAGATATGTGTAAGAAACCTCTTTTCACAATGTGTGACAGAGGTATCACTTTTAGATCAGGGCCCTCCACAGGCTAATATTCTCTATACTTCAACCAATGTGCATCTGTGTATTATTCTCTATCTACAACACAACTAATATTTTCTGGTGGGTGTTGAGAGGTGCCTGACTCTATGGGATAAAGATAAGAACTTGGGTTCCTAACTCTGTGGCATGAAGATGAGAATTGGGTTCCTGACACTGTGTTATATGATGAGGACTTGGGTTCCTGACTCTGTGGGATAAAGATGAGAACTTGGGCTCATTTAGTTATTATCCACTTATTAGAATAACAGCATTCAATTCTCCCTAGGGCTTATCACCAAGCCAAGCAAAAGTATATTACCAAATTAATATCACATCAGTTACAATTTGTGGAATAAGCATTAATCCAATCAGAAAATGATTGGTTCTTCTCATGACTTTCCTGCCATTATTGCTCTATGGGCACTGTTGTTTTTATCTGGGGTACAGCAACTGCACCTCATACTATCGATACCACAGCTAATGACTTAACCTCTTCAGCTGCAGCTACTGCCTTGACGCTGAGGCCTTAGACTAGAAGAGCCTTCCTGTAGTTTTCACTAAGTCATTGTCCTTTTATTTTACCAATAAGGATTCTGGAGCCAGATGCTGGGTGAAAACCTGCTAGCTCAGAGAGACGGAGATTCTTACACACAAGGGGAGATATTACAGGAGCTTGGATGACTCCACTGGGAAAAACATCAGTAACTATGCCACAGCCCAGATCTCAGACTCCAGGAACCCTGTGGCCAAAGTTAGGACATGTAAAGGTTTCATGGAATATTTATAGTTACAGAAGAAAGAGACTCATTAATCAAGGCAAGTTTCAAATACACTGCTTGAACAAATTGTTGTGGGTTATAGCAAAGAGAAATCTCTACAGCTCTCTGATGGCATTCTTAGCATTTTTGCTATTGGAAGTTAGAGGTTCCTGTTGACGTTCCAAAATAATTAACCTAATATTCTCCACTATGGATTCATTAGAGGTGGGTAAGATCTGAATAGTTAGCAAATATTTTATCACACTTCACACACTCATGGAGTTTGTAGTCAGAATGAATCATTTGATGTATTTTAAGGGTTGAAAAAGTAAACATTTTAAGACATTTGTAGGATATTTCTCCCATGTGAACTATAGCATCTGTTGAGTAAGCACATAAAGATTAACAAAGTTTTTGTCACATTCCCCACAATTTCAGGGACTGTCTTCAGAATGAATTTCCTTTTCTTTTTTATATTGTTTAAAGGATGAAGGTGAAGAGAACCTTCTGTCATATATTCCCAGTTTTAGGGATTCTCTTCAGTATGAACTGTCTTGTGTCTCATAAGGGATGAGATATAATGAAAGGCTTTGTGACATTCTTCACACTTGTATGGTTTCTCTCCAGTATGAACTGTCTTGTGTCTCCTAAGGGATGAGAGATAAAAAAAGGCTTTGTGACATTCTTCACACTTGTACAATTTCTCTCCAGTATGAAGTGTTTGATGTTCCTGAAGATCCCTAGAACAGGAATATCGTTTGCCACATTGTGCACAGGTATAAGGATTGTCTTCAGAATGGACTATTTGATGTCCTCTAAGGCATGAATCTGAGGAAAAACATCTGCCACACTCTTCACACTTGTAAGGGTTGTCTTCAAAGTGAATTATTTGATGTCGTCTAAGGCATGAAGCTGAGGAAAAATATTTGCCACACTCTTCACACTTGTACAGTTTCTGTCTAGTATGAACCACCTTGTGGTTCTTAAGTGATGAGTGATAAAGAAAGGTTTTGTGACATTCTTCACACTTGTATGGTCTGTCTCTATGAATTTTACTATGTTTCTGAAGGATTGCAGAATGGGAAAACCTTTTGCCACACTCCTCACACTTGTAGGGATTGTCTTTGCAGGGAACTGTTTGATGCTGAGTAAGGTATGAAAATGAAGAAAAAAAACAGCCACACTCTTCACACTTGCATGGTTTCTCTCTAGAATGAATTCTTTGATGTTGCTTCAGCACTGAAGGAGTGTAAAAGGATTTGCCACACTCTTCACACTTGCATGGTTTCTCTCCAGAATGAATTCTTTGATGTTGCTTCAGCACTGAAGGTTTATAAAAGGATTTGCCACATTCTTCACACTTGTAGGGTTTCTTTCCAGAATGAATTTTTTGATGTTGCTTTAGCACTGAAGGAGTGTTAAAAGATTTGTCACATACTTTACACTTGTAGGGTTTCTCTCCAGAATGAATTCTTTGATGCTGCTTCAGGAATGAAAAATTATAAAAAGTTTTGCCACAATTTTGACACTTATATGGTTTCTCTCCAGAATGAATTCTTTGATGTTGCTTCAGGAATGAAGGATCATAAAAAGCTTTGCCACATTTTTCACACTTGTGGGGTTTCTCTCCAGAATGAATTCTTTGATGTTGCTTCAGCATTGAAGGATAGTAAAATAATTTGCCACATTCTTCACACTTGTGGGTTTTTTCATCAGTATGATTTTTCTGGTGTATAAAAAGTGATGAGCGAGTATTGAAGGCCTTATGACATTCTTTACATGTGTAAGACTTTTCTCCAGTATGAAGTCTCTGGTGTATGGAAAGTGTTTTATAAGAACTAAGGCCCTTACCACATTCTTTACACTGGTAGGGTTTCTCCCTTGTATGAATTCTCTGGCATTGAATACTTAATGAGTTGCAGTCAATACCCTTGTTGTAATCGTTATAATCAATGAATGTTGTTCCTGTTGAGCAAAAGTTGAGAAATGAACAAAGGCTTGGAAATAACTTCATTCTTATAATGCTTATCTTTTTCAAAGGAAATATCTACTCAAGTATATTGAAGCATCAGTGAGAAACTACAGTACATTTCAAAACCTACAGGGACTAAGCATAAATGATAAAATATTGCAGGCAGAAATAATCTATACTTCTACTAGAATAAGGGCATGACCAAAAAGAACCTAGACATAATGGCATAGTATTCAAAGTTTAATAGCTAAGAAAGTTGTAAGGGCATTTTACAACAGAAGTAAGCCCATTAAACAGGATATGTTATATGGCCAGACAACCCTGAAATTATAAGGTAACCAAGCTGAGAAAAGAGAAAGTTAATTGTGACTATATGAATTTCAGCCATCATCTAAATAGAACATTTTAATCCTCCACATAGAGTATTATTTTGGCAGGTACAAAAGATATGCTGCATAAGAAGTAGATGGTCCACAAAAAGATTAAATTTATCGCTCAAAAGTTTAGGACAGTATTTTATGCTTTATTTTGATGAGAAAAATATATAAAACAGAATCCTCCAGCTCTGATTGGACCAAGAGGTGAGTGACTCTTCTCCCTGCCTAAGTCCTAGCTCCAAGGCAGAATCCATGCTCTACTATTCCCACCCATTGTTTCCCCAGTTGCAGCCCAGTAGGGAAGACTCTGGCATGCAGATCTCCCCACCAATACCCCCTAGGGACCCTGCAATCTGTAAGACCCACTTGCTCCCCAAAACCCAACCACCCCCCTGTGACCTCAGGGGCAACCTGAGACACACAATCTGCCAGTTCTGATTGTACCAAGAGGTGAATGACTGACTCTTCTCCCAGCCAGAGAGTCCTTTCTCTAGGACCTAGGCCCTGGGGCACAACTCATGCCTACCCACCCTCATTCACTGCTGCCCAAGTTGCAGGCCAGTAGGGAAGTCTGCTGTGGGCAGGCCTCTTGTCAAACACCCGCCCATTAAACACTGCAATCTACAACACCACTCCCTACCCAAACCCACCCATCTTCCTTTGACCTAAGTGGCTCCCTAAGGCACAGGTTCCACCAGCTCTGATTGGATCAAGAGGTGAGTGACTCTTCTCCTAGCCAGAAAGACCTGACTCTAGGACCTAAGACCCAAAGCACAACCCTTGGCCTCCCCCTAGCCCCACCATTGCAGGCCACTAGGGAAGACTCCAGTGGGCAGATCTCCCTACCAATATCTCCCAAGGGATCTTGCAATCTATGAGACCAACTCCCTCTGCCCAAAACCACGCATATGCCTGTGACCTCAGCAGCTCCCTGAGACACAGAATCTACCAGCTTGATTGCACCAAGAGTTCTGATTGGACCCAAGAGTGCAGACTGGATCAAGAATGGCCCCCTGAGACACAGACAGAGCCCGCACAGACTGGAGCAAGAGCAGTTCCTTCAGACAAAAACACATCTTGGACTGATTATGGAAGAGACTGGTAGACACCAGTGCAGGAATACATACAACATAAAGAGCCATATGGCACCACCAGAACCTAGTGGTTGCACAACAGCAAGACATGAAAATCACAACATTGAAGAAGCAGAAGGAAAGAACCTAAAAAATAACTTTGTGGAGGTGATAGAGGCCTTTAAAGAGGAAATGAAAAACTCCCTTAAAGAAATTGAGGAACAGACAAACAAAAATTAGAAGAAATCAATAAATCCCTTAAAGAAAGCCAAGAAAACCAAGAAAAAGCAATTAAACAGGGGAAGGGAACAGTTCAAGATCTAAAAATTGAAACTGAAGCAATGAAGAAGACACAGAGCGAAGGAATGCTGGAAATAAAAATCTGAGGAAATGAGCAGGAAGTAAAGAAGCGAGCAAAAGGAAACAAATGCATGATACGGAAGACAGAATTTGGGGCATGGAGGATATGCTAGAGGAAATAGATCCATCAGTCAAAGAAAACACTTAACCCAAGAAAGTCATAACGCAAGACATGATGCTCACTTTGGTATTGAGATCTTTCGGCTAGAGTCTGCTCTCAAATTCTAAAACTAAATGACTCCCAGTCTGACCAGCACTGAGTTCTCTTTCCCTGAGTCTTACACTACAATGGAGAATCAACAAAAAGAAAAATCTTGGAAGTCACTGCAATAGGAGCCGGCTAGTGAGTTACTCTTGGAGAAATACAAAGCTTAAAAGACTTAAAGCATCAGAAACTTTTGAGAGATGAGTTTCAACAACAAAGACATAAAGGAGAGACCTAAAGAATGATTCCCACAGTGTCATGTTCCAGGGTAATGGGAAAGCCTGCCTTTCTGTGGGATATTTGGACTTCAACCCTGGCCCCAAACCCCTCATTCCTACACACCTGGATACATGTTGGCTGCTGCTTGTCTCTTCACATCTGAAGAGTCTTGTCTTTGCTCCAAAAATGTGACCAGGTGTGGCTTAGACACAGCAAGACCTGTTTGTAGAAAAAAGAAGGAACAAGATTGTTTATGTGTTCTTTTACTGGGAATTTACATGTGCCTTCCAGTACATGGCTTATAAGGAAAGAGATGATATAATAAATGATTGCAGACAATCAGTTCCTTAAATGTTTTCTGACAGAATCACTACACTACATAAAGGAATTTATGATAACCAGATTCTGAGTTTCATTTAATGGAAAGAAAAACTCATTAAAACTGAATTGTCAGTCCCCGGGTTACCACCAACCAAATCTGTCCCTGTTGCCAGACAGCAGGCAAAACTCCTACCGGAAGAACCACCTCACCAAAACTCCACACTGGACCCTGCAATCTACATGCCCTGCCCCCATACCCATTGCCTAAGACCCCAGCAACTTCCTGAGGCATGGAAACCAAATTGCCAGCTCTCATTGGACCAAGAGAGGAGGAGATGGGCAGATGTCAAGGCAAAAATACATACAACATAAAGAGCAATACGGCATCACTAGAATCTAGCCCTCCTCCAACAGCAATAGCAGAACCTCACAAGGTAGAAGAAGCAGAAGAAACTGACCTTAAGAATAGCATCATGAAGATGCTAGAGGCCTTTCAAGAAAAAATGAAAAATGAAATTGAGGAAAAGACAAACAAAAAATTGGAAGAAATCAATAAAGAAATAGAGGAAAAGATAAATAAAAAGTTGAGCTGGGCAGTGGTGGTATACTCCTTTAATCCCAGCACTCGGGAGGCAGAGCCAGGCAGATCTCTGTGAGTTCGAGGCCAGCCTGGTCTCCAAACCAAGTTCCAGGAAAGGCGCAAAGCTACGAAGAGAAACCCTGTCTCGAAAAACCAAAAAAAAAAATTGGAAGAAATCAATAAATCCCTTAAAGAAAGCCAAGAAATCCATGAAAAGGCAATTAAACATGTGAGGAATACAGTTCAAGACCTAAAAAGGGAAATAGATTCAATGAAGAAGACACAAAGAGAGAAAATGCTGGAAATAGAAATTCTGAGTAAATGAACAGGAAACACAGATGCAAGCATAACCAACAGAATACAAGAGATGGAAGAGAGGATCTCTGGTGTAGAGGATACAATAGAGGAAACAGATTGCTGTCAGTCAAAGAAATACCAAAGCCAAAAAAGTCATAACACAAAACATCCAGGAAATCTGGAACACCATGAAAAGGCCAAACCTACAAATAATAGGGATAGAAGAAGGAGAAGAATACCAACTCAAGGGCACAGAAAATATATTCAACAAGATCATAGAAGAAAACTTTCCCAATTTAAAGAAAAAAATGCCTATGAAGATGTAAGAAGCCTATAGAACACCAAACAGAGTAGATCCCCCAAAAAGTCCCCTCGCAACATAATAATTTAACAACTAAATGTACAGAATAAAGAAAGAATATTAAGAGCAGCAAAGGAAAAAGGCCAAGTGACTTATAAAGGCAAACCCATCAGAATAACACCTGACTTCTCAATGGAGACTTTGAAAGTCAGAAGGTCCTGGACAGATGTAATGCAGACACTAAGAGACCATGGATGCCAGCCTAGATTAATATACCTAGCAAAATTTTCAATCACCATAGACGGTGTGAATAAGACATTCCAAGACAAAACCAGATTTAAACAATCTTATCCACAAATCCAGCCCCACAGAAAGCACTAGAAGGAAAATTCCAACCAAAGTAAGTCAGATACACCCACAAAAACACAGGCAATAGATAACCACACAGCAGTAAATCCCAAAGAAGAGAAATACACACACACACTACCACCAAAAGATAACAGGAACTAACAATCACAGGTCATTAATAACCCTTAATGTCAATGGACTTAATTCACCTATAAAAAGGCACAGGCTAACAGAATGGATATGAAAACAGGACCCATCTTTCCACTGCATACAAGAAATACACCTCAATTTCAAAGATAGACACTATTTCAGAATAAAAGGCTGGGAAAGGTCTTTCCAATCAAACGGTCTTAAGAAGCAAGCTGGTATAGCTATCCTAATATCCAACAAAATAGACTTCAAACTAAAATCAATCAAAAGAGATCAAGAAGGACATTACATACTCATCACAGGAAAGATCCACCAAGATTGAAGTTTCAATTCTGAACATTTATGCCCCAAACACAAGGGCACCCACATATGTAAAAGAAACATTACTAAAGCTTAAATCACACATTAAACCCTACACATTAATAGTGGGAGACTTCAACACCCTACTCTCACCACTGGACAGATCTGCCAAATTGAAATTTAACAGAGAAATAAGGGACTTAATTGATGTTATGACTCAAATGGACTTAATGATATCTACAGAAAATTTTACCCTAACAAAAAAGAATATACCTTCTCAGCAACCCATGGAACCTTCTCTAAAATTGAACACATACTCGGTCACAAAGCAAATTTCAATAGATACAAAAAAATTGGAATAACCTCCTATATTCTATCAGACCACCATGGCTTAAAGTTAGATTTCAACAACAACAAGAATTACAGAAAGCCTACAATCTCATGGAAACTGAATAATGCTCAACTGAATCACCAATGGGTCAAGGAAGAAATAAAGAAATTAAAGACTTCCTAGAGATCAATGAAAATGAATATACTACATACCCAAACTTATGGGACATTATGAAAGCAGTGCTAAGAGGAAAATTCATAGCACTAAATGCCCATATAAAGAAGTAGAGAAATCTCATACTAATGACTTAACAGCACACCTGAAAGCTCTAGAACAAGAAGAAGCAAAGTCACCCAGGAGGAATAGACACCAGGAAATAATCAAATTGAGAGCTGAAATCAAAAATAGAAACAAAGAGAACAATACAAAGAATCAATGAAACAAAGAGTTGGTTCTTGGAGAAAATCAACAAGACAGACAAGCCCTTAACCAGACTAACCAAAAGGCAGAGAGAGAGCATCCAAATTAACAAAATCAGAAATGAATGGGAGACATAACTGACAATGAGGAAATCCAGAGAATGACCAGGTCATACTTCAAACACCTGTACTCCACAAAAATGCAAAATCTAAAAGAAATGGACAGTTTTCTGGATAGATACCTCATACCTAAGTTAAATCAAGACCAGATAAACTATTTAAATAGACCAATAACCCCTAAGGAAATAGAAACTGTCATTAACAGTTTCCCAATCCTGCCCCCCCCCCCCCCCCCCCGCGCCCAAAAAAAGAGCCCAGGACCAGATGGTTTCAATGCAGAATTCTACCAGATCTTCAAAGAAGAGTTAATACCAATACTCTTTAAAGTGTTCCACACAATAGAAACAGAAGGAACATTACCAAACTCCTTCTATGAGTCTACAGTTGCTCTGACTCCCACGCTAAACAAAGATGCAACAAAGAAAGAGAATTACAGACCAACCTCCCTCATGAACACTGATGTAAAATACTCAATAAAATATTGGCAAACAGACTCCAAGAACACATCAAAACAATTATCCACCATGATCAAGTAGGCTTCATCCCAGGGATGCAAGGGTGGTTCAACATACGAAAGTCTGTCAACGTAATACACCATTTAAACAAACTCAAAGAAAAAAATCACATGATCATTTCATTAGATGCTGAAAAGACCTTTGACAAAAATCCAACACCCCTTCATGATAAAGGTCTTGGAGAGATCAGGAATACAGGGAACATACCTAAACATAATAAAGGCAATTAACAGCAAGCCAACAGCCAACATCAAAGAAAATGGAGAGAAACTCAAAGCAATTCCACTAAAATCAGGAACAAGACAAGGCTGTCCACTCTCCTCATATTTATTCAATACAGTACTTGAAGTTCTAGCTAGAGCAATAAGAGAACAAAAGGAGATCACGGGGATACAAATTGGAAAGGAAGAAATCAAACTTTCACTATTTGCAGATGACATATAGTATACATAACTGACCCCCAAAATTTGACCAAGGAACTCTTACAGCTGATAAACACCTTCAGTAGTGTGGCAGGAAACAAGATTAACTCAAAAAAATCAGTAGCCCCCCTATATACAAATGACAAATGGGCTGAGAAAGAAATCAGAGAAACATCACCCTTTACAACAGCCACAAATAATATAAAATACCTTGAGGTAACTCTAACTAAGCAAGTGAAGAACCTGTATGACAACAACTTTAAGACCCTGAAGAAAGACATTGAAGAAGATATTAGAAAATGGAAAGATCTCCCATGCTCATGGATAGGTAGGATTAACATAGTAAAAATGGGAATCTTACCAAAAGCAATCTACAGATTCAATGCAATCCCCATCAAAATCCCAACACAATTCTTCATCAACCTGGAAAGAACAATACTCAACTTCACTTGGAAAAACAAAAAACCCAGGATAGCCAAAAGAATCCTGGACAATTAAACAACCTCTGGAGGCATCACATTCCTTGATGTCAAGCTCTACTATAGAGCTACAGTAATAAAAAACAGCTTGGTACTGGCATAAAAACCGACATGTGGACCAATGGAATTGAACTGAAGACCCTGACATTAATACACACATGTATGAACACCTAATTTTTGACAAAGAAGTCAAAACTGTAAAATGGAAAAAAGAAAGCATCTTCAACAAATGGTGCTGGTATAACTGGATGTCAACATGTAGAAGATTGCAAATAGATCTATATCTGTCACCATGCACAAAACTTAAGTCCAAGTGGATCAAAGACCTCAACATAAATCTAGTCACTCTGAACCTGATAGAAGAGAATGTAGGAAGTAGTCTTCAACCCATTGGCACTGGAGATCACTTCCTAAATATACCACCAGGAGCACAGACACTGAGAGAAACAATTAATAAATGGAAACTCTTGAAACTGAAAAGCTTTTGTAGGGCAAAGGACACGTTCAATAAGACAAAACGACAGCCTACAGAATGGGAAAAGATCTTCACCAACCCCACATCTGACAGAGGGCTGATATCCAGAATATGTAAAGAACTCAATAAACTAGACATCAAAATACTTAACAGTCCTATTAAAAAATGGGCTATAGAGTTAAACAGAGAATTCTCAAAAGAAGCTCAAATGGTTGAAAGACATTTAAGGAATTGCTCAACATCTTTAGTCATCAGGGAAATGCAAATCAAAACGACTCTGAGATATCATCTTACACCTGTCAGAAGGGCTAAGATCAAAAACACTAAGGACAGCTTATGTTGGAGAGGATGTGGAGCAAGGGGAACACTCCTACACTGTTGGTTGAAATGCAAACTTGTACAGCCACTTTTGAAATCAGTAAGGGGCTTTCTCAGAAAATTGGGACTCAATCTCCCTCAAGACCCAGCTATACCACTCTTGGGCATATACCCAAGGAATGCTCAATCACAGCACAAGGACACATGTTCAACTATGCTCATAGAAGCATTATTTGTAATAGCCAGAACCTGGAAACAACCTAGATGCCCCTCAACTGAAGAATGAATAAACAAAATGTGGTACATATACACACTGGAGTACTACTCAGCAGAGAAAAACAATGACATCATGAGGTTTGCAGGTAAATGGATGGAACTAGAAAAAATCATCCTAAGTGAGGTAACCCAGACTCAGAAAGACAAACATGATATGTGCTCATAAGTGGATACTAGATGTAAAGCAAAGGATAACCAGACTGCAACTCACAGCTCCAGGGAAGCTAGCTTGTAAAGAGGACCCTAGAAAAGACACAAGGATCGCACAGTGACGGAGAAATGGATGAGATCTACATGAGCAAGCTGGGGGTGACGGGGGGTAATAGAGGGCAAGGGTCGGAGGAAAGAGAGCTTAGGGGAGCAGGAGGTCCTAGCTGGATTAGGAACAGAGTGGGAGAAAAAGGAAAGAGATACCATGATAAATGAAGACGCCATGGGAATAGGAAGAAGCAGAATGCTAGAGAGGTCCCCAGGAATCTACAAAGATACCTCCACAATAGACTACTGGCAATGGTTGAGAGGGTGCCTGAGCTGATCTACTCTGGTGATCAGATGGCTGAACACCCTAACTGTCATGATAGAACCCTCATCCAGTGACTGATGGAAGCAGATGCAGAGATCCACGACCAAGCCCCAGGCGGAGCTCCAGGAGTCCATTCGACAAGAAAGAGGAGGGATTATATGAGCAAGTGATATCCACACCATGATTGGAAAAAGTACAGAGACAACTAGACAAACTAGTGGAAACACATGAACTGTGGACCAATAGCTAAGGAGCCCACATGGTACCGGGACTAGGCCCTCCGAATGAGCAAGACAGTTGTTTAGCTTGAACTGTTTAGGGGGGCCCCAGGCAGAGAGACTGGGACCTGTCCTTAGTTCCTCAACCCAGCTTTTTGGAACCTGGGGCCTATGCTGAGACACTTAGGCCAGCCTAGGTACAGGGAGGAGGGGATTGGACCTGCCTCATCAGAATCTACCATATTCTGCTGACTCCACAGGGGAGACCTTGCCTTGGAGAAGGTGGGAATGGAGGGTGGATTGGGGGGAGGGGAGTCTGGTGGGTGGCAGGAGGGAAGACAGGGGAATCTGTGGTTGATATGTAAAATAAATAGAAAATCTCTTAATAAAAAATAAAAAGTTGGCCAGTGGCATGCACCTGAAACCCGAGACTAGGTGGGCAGGACAGGTAGGTCCTCGGGGCTTGTCAGCTGACAAGTCCAGCTAAATGGTATCTGCAGGTTCAGTGAGAAACTGTTTTAAAACATAGCTGGCCTCGGAGGCTCATGTCTTTAAAGTGGCTGTTCTACATGTATCAAGTTGACCTACATGGAAGCACTCATCTCTGTCAGCCGGGACTCTCCAGAGTCACAAAGGGGAGGCAAAAACACAAAAAACAACAACAAAAAACAAACCAAACAACCAAACAAACACAAACAAAAAAAACCCCTGAATTTTGAAACACTCTAATTAACAAGTGTACTTGAAGTCTCATGTCATTGAATTTCTAGGAGTCCCACTGGAGTGAAGGAAATACACACCCAACACAGAAATGCAAAACACAAAAAGAGACAAACAGTGAAATGGTTCTTTTTGAACATGTTATTTTAATTTTACATGTGCATTGGTGCTTTACTTGCAGGAATGTCTGTGTGAGGATGAAGTGTTAATCAAATTAATCTCTACAAACAAAAAAATTAGAGTCAGGCATTGGGGTGAAAAACCTGAAAGATCAGAGACGCAGGGGAGCAGACACAGTGACTTCCTACATCTTCGGTTCCTTGATCCTAAAGGGCTCAGATTCTGTCTCAGCCCTGACTTACCACTTCCGGTCCATCTTTCCACAGCCTCTGAACGTCTATGGTCAGCCAGTGGCTAGCATCACCCTCTGACTCCAGGCAAGCTTTATTTGTCAGAACACAATCAACATGACAGTGTCAGACCTTGGGATTACAGACAGCTGTGAGCTGCCATATGGGTGATAGGAATTGAACCCCGATCCTCTACAAGAGCAGTCAACGTTCTGAACAACTGAGCCATCTCCCCAGTCCTGAAATGATTTTTAATAGAGCAATCTGCCTAATTTTTCTGAAAACAAAGGATATGAAAAAGGCTGTTGAAATGCTCCCATGAGATACCATACAAAGTGAGGAAGCTATATGTTGATGGTGAAATAAGAATTCACTATGGATGAGAGCCTCACCAAGGAACACAAGGTTGCTGTAATTCTCCAACATCACATCCCTGTACAAATTCCACTGAGCAGGCTCCAGGCAGTCCCTCTCTTCTGCAGAGAACTCAATGGCCACATCCCAGAAGGACAGCATTTCCTGAAATAAAGATCAATGAATGATACTGCACTTTAGTTTAATTAAAACCATTAACAATATTAAGATACTAACAGCAATGATATATTAATGTAAATATATATAATATAAAGAGAATAGAGACTGGTCCTAGAGTCAAGGCTAAAACAACAGAATGGACAGAGTTGATACATTAAGAACGGCTGCATCTCCTGTCAGTATTCCTCAGAGATACCTTTTCAGAGAATCAGACAAAACTGAAGATTGGTGGGAAATCCAAGCCTGATGCAAAGGGAGGACTGGATTCCTGATCAGGTTCCTAACAGTAGTGACCTTCCATTCAGAGCAGCCTATGTCCTGATCAAAGGACGTAGTGTTTAAAATATACACTATACACATCATCAAGTAGCAACTCCTAGGTCTCCATCCAGGCTCTATACTTGTATATGTGTGGCATGAAAGACTCATTGATTTTTGCCTTAATCTACCATATATTGTCTCAAGAAGTGGAATAAACAATGAAAACTGTGGAGACCAAATGTAGTATCTGCTTTGAAAACATGAATTACATATTTACAATTGAAATTTCAAAATACTATCACAAGCTTTGCCTTTTACATTAGAAGTCAAGCTGTATTAGTGGATTTTAGCAGTCCATCTATTGCTTCTGAGTCTTCTTAAAGTACCAGTGGTGGAGTGTAACCCATAAAGATTTGGGACATGCACACTCATACATTTGACTTAATTTCATATAGATAGTGCAAAGAAGAACACAATGGAATGCAGATTTTCAAAAGGATGGTCATGAAACAACATACACCTTTCAAACTAAACATGCTGATGCATTTGATAATGACTATGGAGGACACTATGGCAGCCACTTTTATAACCTGAATTGACAATGTAATGAAAATCTGTGCTGCTTAGGCTTATTCCTTGGATATGTGTTTGACCCCTGTTCAAACCTTGCAATGTCTCTCCGTGGCCTCTGACATAGTCATATATATGGATTAACAGGAACTGAATGTCCTCACCCAGCACACCTCCCCTCCAGAGTTTTCCAGATATGACATGTCTAACACAGCAAGGCTCATGCATGAGTTGTAAACACAAGGAACTCCCTCCCTCACACTGACATTAGAATACAATGAAAGGAGCCTGGGAGGAAAGAGACAGGACTGCTCAACAAGGGGAACTGGACTGGACCTGTGAAGAGCAGGAACCAGCATTAGCACTTGGCTTTACTGGTTGGACATGGCAGTGCCCATGTGAAGGACAGGGAGGAAGTGGTTTTGTTCTGGCTCACTGTAAGAAGCATCTGCACACAGAGGAACCTCTGGTGTAAGGACAGGGGAAGCCATCGCAGCTGCAGCTGCAGAAAAAGACCCAGGAATGTAACCACAGCAGCCACATCAGTCAAGAATTGCAGAATGGAAATGAAGAAATAATGGAGTCTCAGATTAGATATGAAAGGAGCAACCTGGAAATAATCAGTGAAACCAGAAGAAATAAGCATCAGGTCATAACAGTGAGAAACAGATTAAATTCCAAAAAGAATGAACAATCGCTACACACAAGAATGTTTAAGCAAGGCAATGAGATTTCTTCCTCACATAGTAAATGCAAACAATTATCTAATCTCCAAAAGTTAATGTCTTCAACAAAAAAAAGTATGTTAGTGAAAACACATTAAATTACATGTGAAATGTGTCAACAGAAGTTAATCACAAATACTTCTTAAGTCAGCAATGTGCTGATTGCATGGATTTGTCAAAGCGCTCACTGTAAGAAACATGAAATGAACATAGAAAGTGTTTCTCATGACCTTGAATTATTTATAAATGTTTTCTGACAGAGACTCAGGTATCCCAGGTGCCCTTGAATTTTTGGTGAAGCATGGGAGGATCAGAATGTCCTGTCTCCCCTTCACAAATGCAGAGATGACAGGGATGTGCAATAGAGTAGACTGAAGTTTCTTTTCTATCAAAGGTCTGTTTACTTTAAATCACATGAATACACACACTCTGTGAGTTCTTCCTCACCCTGCCGACCTGACACAAAAGCCTGGCACTGGAACCCAAGGCCATGAGAGTTTTTCATCTGTTCCTAGACATCCTGCTTATGGACTAGCTCAACAAGCTCAAGGCCAGATCAAGACGTGTTGACACAACCAGTGTGCTCCACCCTACAGAAGGGATGGAAGACCTTTCAAAGTTAAGAAAACCCAGTCCTTAATGTGAAGCCCCAAGTCAGCTTCTCCAGTTCCCATTCTTCCTGCAGAGGGTCTCTGTGTGTGGGGGGTGTATGTGTGTTCTCTCACCCCGAGTCAAAGCTTCTCTATTGCAGCGGATTCTGACAGATCTGTTGACTGGTTCCTGAATTTCCCACATATGACTTTTGTTTCACCTCGAAATTTTTCTCTCTTAATTCTCTAACTGGCAGAGATCACAATCATAACCTCAAGACCGTTACACTAGGCCGGCTACAGAGTTCAGGAAGGACCAGACCCCGTTTGCTCTACAGATTCTGAGAAATCTGACAGTGTCCATGTGAGAAAGGCTCAGCTAGAGAAGCATGCTTCCCCACTAAAGCTGCTCAGTGAGCTCCCAGCTCCATCTCAGGAGCAGGCAGTCAGCTGACCATCATTAGTTTGCAATCCTGGACTTTGCACTATCATCTACTCCGCGCTACCAGGCAGCTCTCCTGTCCCAGAAGCGCGAGGCAGACTCGGGTGGCAAGCGACGACCTAAAGAAATCACTCAGAATGCAATCCCTGTCGCCCTCTCCCCAGCCCAGACCTGCAACCTCACGTGACCCAGCCAGTTCAGCACAGCACCTCCAAGGCAGCTTCTTCTGCCCTCCCACCCAGCCCAGTTCAGCTCCCTCCAAGTCGGACCCCCGAACCCCGCAAAGTGCGTCAGGCTGCGCTGCACCCTGGACCAACCTCCATGTCAGAGACGAAACAAGAACGTACAGCAGGCAGGACTCTCGTCCAACTTTGGGTAAACTGCTCACGTGAGGGCTGAAGTCCAGGAGGGAATTTCCTGGATGGCTCACCCTGACGTCACAGTGCCGCAGACTACATTTCCCAGAAGTCTATGCGCAAGAAGTCTTGGAACCCAGGCATGGAGTTTTCTCCTATTGTGGATTCGATTCTGGCTGCCTGCAGGAGAGTATTGGAGGAAGAAGCCCAGTCAGCAAGACATTCCTGGGGCATGAGCCTGGTGTTCACCTCCAGATCCACAACATGAGAAGTATGAGTGTGAGTCGAGCCTTTGATGGGAAGATTAGCCCAGTAAAATTTCTGGCCCATATTTTGTAATTTGAATCTTACTACAGCATTTAAAAATCTCGTTGACTCTGTTTTACTTTAAACTAAGGAAGCAATACTGTAGCAGCAATCTTAAAGAGTCTTATTAATAAAGTCAAACCTGAGCCAGGTACTGGGGTCAATGCTGGACGATCAGAGAGACAGAACAGGCCACAGCTTCCTTACCTTGCCAGTTCCTCAGCTGATCCTGTTTCCTCAGACTGGAATCCTCTGAGTCCTCATCCAGAATGAATCTCAGCTGAACTGCTGCTGGAAAGCCTGAAAGCTTAACCAGCCAAAAGCTTCTAGTTCCTGGTCCTCAAACCTTATATACCTTTCTGCTACCACCTGGGATTAAAGGCGTGAGTCACCATGCCTGGCCGTTTCCAATGTGGCCTTGAATTCCTTGACATCCAGAGGAATTTCTACCTCTGGAATGCTAGGATTAAAGGCGTGTGCTACCACTGCCTATCCTCTATGTTTAATACTGTGGCTGTCCTGTTCTCTGACCCCAGATAAGTTTATTAGGGTGCACACTATTTTGGGGAACACAATATCACCACAGATTACACTAATGTGGGAATGAGAAGTACTTTCAAAGATGGTTTTGAAACCATCTGTCAGACCTTGCTCCTAACTGCTCTGCGGTTTCCTTGACAAATGGACCAGAGGTGAAAGTCTGCACAGGGAAATTTAAAGAGACCCTGTATCTAAGCAAAACGGGAAAGTCAAAACAAAACAAACACGTGTGAAAGCAGTTGAGTATAATGTGGGCTTTGTCTGAATATGCTGTCCTACGAATAAATAATAAATCAATAAAAAATAATCCTGTTCCTCTGTACTGACACTCTGTGTGAGCCATACATGAGTCTGACTCCACAGCTTGTAAAACAGTTTTGTGAGAACATTGGAATCTCTACAGTGTATTGATGAGGAACACAGAGACAGTATAATCAATGAACAAAGTGAAATGTCCACCTCTCTGACACTTACTTGCAAAGATCTCCCATAATCCATCTCTGGATTTTTCCACCTGTACTTCTTTCCCTTGAAAACTTTCAACTAGTAATCTCTGTAAGCCATTTAGTTTTTGTGAGAGCTCTACCAGAATTTTACCAGTGTCCCCATGGTTTTTCACAAACTCAGGTCCATATTCACCACCTGTGTGCTAGGAGCTCATGCTTACCTCCCTAGTGAAGGGTCACCGGTCCTGGGTCATTCACTCAGGACTGAAGCACAGATAGCTCAAACTATCTAAACAGTCCAGTTTCCTATAGTTCTGTCATGAGTATATGGTGCAGTTCCAATTCCACTTAGCGATCACCATGTTCCATGGAGAGTGACCACACAGGGATTGTTAGGATGGCACTGAACATCTGACCAGTCATATGGTGAGGCTGTTCTCTTTAATAGTGCTGAAGAGAGTCATGGTGACCTCCAGGGTGCACTTCCTGTCTACACATCCAGTACAATGTAGACAGTGCTGTCATGTTCTACTGTCTTGGGACAGTGTCAGCCCCATAGCACAGTTTCCTTCTTCTTTGGGTGCTGACCCTGGAGAAACTTTCCTAGAAGTACAGTTTTGAGCATCAGCCCCTGCAGTGGTCTCTCAGCATGCAAATGAAATTGCACTTCCACAAGACAGAGACTTCCATGGATGTGCTCTTGGTTCAGAGCACATTTAGGTGCGGTCAGTACGAAGTACCAGGTTTGTCCATATTGGAGTTAATCTCTCTGACAATTACAGCTGATTTCACATGGTTTATAACTTTAAAGTCACTGTGGTTTAGAATGAGAAAGGCACCTATAGGTTCATACAATAGAATGCTTGGGCCCCAGTTGGTCCATCTTGTCCTGATTCCATTTATGTTCTCTTGAATACTTCTCAGCCCTATAAACTTCTTCCATGTACATGGATTCTGCTGTTCATCAACCATGTCTTAATGCCTGTGGGACAAACAATTTTCCATATTACCCCTCCATGTTGTTTGCACTCTCAATTTCTGTCTGCACTCTATGTATTGTTTATCCTGTTACATAGAAATGCATTGTTCAGTAGCCTCAATATAGTTCCCACTTTCTGCAATATCAGTCATTTCCTGTGTAAGTTTTTTCAGTTTGGGTACTTGTGCATGTATTACTCTTATAAATAAGGCTGTAACTTGAAGTGTATTTCTGTAATATAGTGTCAGATTCTAATTTGTTTAAGACAAAACAGTCATTTCCATAACCACTCATAAGAGACCTGCCTATCCAAACCTTAGGGACACAAGTGGGCCACATGACAATGACTCCTCTTCAATGTGTAATGTGACTAAGTAGGTGTGGGGCAAGTCTGTGGTGATATTGTGTTCCCCAAGATATCATGCACCCTAATAAATTTATCTGGGGTCCAAGAACAGAACAGCCACTAGACAGACATAGAGGCCAGAAAATGTTAGCACTCACACCTTTAATCCTAGCCTTCTGGAGGCAGAGATCCATCAGGACCTCTGTGAGTTCAAAGCCACACTGGAAACAGCCAGGCATGGTGACTCACGCTTTTAATTCCATGAAGTAATGGCAGAAAGCAGAAAGGTGTTTAAGGCGAGAGGACCAGGAACTGGAGCTGGTTAAGCTTTTAGGCTTTTGACCAGCACAGTTCAGCTGAGAGGCATCCAGTCTGAGGAAACAGGATCAGCTGAGGAAGTGGAAAAGTGAGGTAGCTGTGGCTTGCTCTGTTTCTCTGATCTTTCAGCATTCACCCCCAATACCTGGCTCCAGGTTTATTTTCATTAAAGAGACCTTTTAAGATTTGTGCTGCACAAATGAGGTGGTATTGTGTAGCTTGAGTTTTCCTGACTGGCCCACAGTCAGTCAGGACAAATCTCTGACACCCGCCAGTCCCACAGCCACTCAGACCCAATCAAGTAAACACAGAGACTTATATTGGTTACAAACTGTATGACCGTGGCAGGCTTCTTGCTAACTGTTCTTACAGCTTAAATTAATCCATTTCCATTAATCTATACCTTGCCACATGGCTCGTGGCTTACCAGCATCTTCACATGCTGTTTGTCATCATGGCGGCTGTCCGTGTCTCTCTCACTCAGCCTTCCACTTCCCAGCTTTATTCTCCTCCTTGTCCCACCTACACTTCCTGCCTAGCCAATGGCCAATCAGTGATTTATTTATTGACCAATCCGAGCAACACATTTGTCATACAGACCATCCCACAGCAGTATTGTGTTCCCCAAAATATTGTGCACCCTAATAAACTTATCTGGAGTCAGAGACAGAACAGCCACAATATTAAACATAGAGGATAAGCAGTGGTAGCACACGCCTTTAATCCTAGCATTCCAGAGGCAGAAATTCATGTGTTCAAGGATATAGCCAAGCATGGTGACTCACGCCTTTAATCCCAGGGAGTGAGGCAGAAAGCAGAAAGATATATAAGGCGTGAGGACCAGAAACTAGAAGCATTTGGTTGGTTAAGCTTTTAGGCTCTGGAGCAGCACAGTTCAGCTGAGATCCATTCTGGATGAGGACTCAGAGGCATCCAGTCTGAGGAAACAAGACCAGCTGAGAAGTTGGCCAGGTGAGGTTAGCTGTGGCTTGTTCTGTCTCTCTGACCATCCAGCATTTCACCCCAATAACTGGCCTCAGGTTTGATTTTATTAATAAGACCTTTTAAGATTCCTGCTAAATCTAGCGCCCAATGTTCATGGTACAAATTCATGAAAAAGCTGCTTGCCTGTGGCCTTGTGGGCCCCAGCTACACTCAGTCGGTTGTGGTGGTGCACACCCATAGGATTTACTGAAGAAGGTAGAGGCAGGAGGATCCGGACTTTGAGGCCAACCTAGGAGAAGTTGTGGCCTGGGCCGAGCCACAAACAGTGGTGGGACCATGGAGGCAGCGGCTGCTGCTCTGAGTTGCTGGCTTCTTTCTCATCGTGTTGGTGACTGTGGTGATGCTGCTACCTGGGACAAAGGGCTTACTACTGCTGGTTCAGAGAAGAATTGTCAGGACCATCATGTTACAAGAAAGCATCAACAAACGTCAGTTTGGAAAAGTTTGGCAAGACCAATAGTGGGGAGAAATTGCTGTGAAGATTTTCTCTTCTAGGGAAGTATGTTCATGGTTCCGAGAGACAGACATTTATCAGACTGTGATTGCTCCAAATCACAGAGGAGGCACAAAAAAAAAAAAAAAAAAAGTCTGCAGTGAACCATGACCACACCTAACAGTGACTTTGAAATCTTCAAAAAGATGACAGGATCCCACAATGATGGTTCCACATGAACTATGGTAAAGCCATTAAGATTATTAACACCACGGAAAGATCAACTTTGGACTACAAACCAAACTGTTCAGGACAATTTCAAGATGGCTAGAGCTGAGATGATCCAGCCTGACAGACTACTTGAACAAGGACTTGAAACAAGCCCTGCACTTTCCTATTATACAGAGATTGGACAAATGATACAGGACTTGACAATTAACCCCAAAATTTTCTTTTCAAGATTCCCTAAAGATGTCTTTGCTCCTAGAAAGCAGGAAGTAATCTTAAGAAAACGATGCCCACATTCCCAAGGTGTGGGGTGGGAATTTTTTTGGTCATTTAATGAGTTATGGATATTGTTATTGTTTATGATGGTTGGCTACAAGTTGTTAATTGTTAATGGTCAAGAAAAAAGCTGAACAAGGAGATTAGATTCAGAGTTTTTGTTTGAAAAAAAAGAAAGAAAAAGAAAAAAGGGAATATAGATTTGAGGTAGATAATTGAATCTACTCTGAGAAAAAAGATAAATAATAGGATAAATGGGTAGATCACTGAATCTACACTGAAAAGAAAAAGGGGAAGATATAAAAATGACAAAAGGTAGACGACTGAATCTATTATGAAAAGAAAAAAGAGAGAATATGGATATGATAAGATAAAAAGGAGATTATGGAATCTACATTTAAAAAGGAACTACTTGTTTTAAATAAGGTAAGTAATGAATTTTTTGTCTGATTTTAGCAAATGTTATTGGACTGGACAGTATTAATATATATAATGGAGTTTTTATCTGAACCTGTCAAATGTTAATGGACTCAACATCATTAATGTAATTCTTGACTGTATATATTGTATATACTTATTGGATAGTTTTTCTTGTGTTAGTTATAAGCTTTTTTAAATTTTAGACAAAAAAAGGGTAAATGAGGTGGTATTGTGTTCACCAAAATATTGTGCACCCTAATAAACTTATCTGGGGTCAGAGACAGAACAGCCACAATATTAAACATAGAGGACAGGCATTGGTAGCACACACCTTTAATCCTAGCATTCCAGAGGCAGAAATTCATGTGTTCAAGGATACAGCCAAGCATGGTGACTCACGCCTTTAATCCCAGGGAGTGAGGCAGAAAGCAGAAAGATATATAAGGCGTGAGGACCAGAAACTAGAAGCATTTGGCTGGTTGAGCTTTCAGGCTTTGGAGCAGCAGTTCAGCTGAGATCCATTCTGGATGAAGACTCAGAGGCCTCCAATCTGAGGAAACAAGATCAGCTGAGAAGCTGGCCAAGTGAGGTTAGCTATGGCTTGTTCTGTCTCTGTGACCATCCAGCATTTCACCCCAATAACCTGCCCTGGGTTTGATTTTATTAATAAGACCTTTTAAGATTCCTGCTACACAAGTCCATTTGTTCATTAATTTGTTCTAACTCCCAGTGTACTCAGAGTGACACTGATCTCTCTTTCAGTTGTTCTGATCACTCAGAATGTGCTGCCTCCCTCTTGCTATAATCTCTTAGGTTCACATGGAACCAAAACATGTTCCAAACTTACAAAATATTTGCCAACCCTGAGACTTAGTGGCCTTTTAGTTTTTGCACATTTGATACTTTCTGAAATGCATTATTCATCATGTTATCTTGATAACAGCTCCTATTGCTGAACAATACCTAGTATGTAGTTATCTCACATACTCATGAGGTCACAAGGCTTTGCTGAATCTCTCTTAAGTGTCAAGTTACCTAATGGCTGTGTATTTGTCTCCAGGTGTGCTGTGAGCTCGTGCTTACAACCTGCTCCTCCCCAAGTGCAGGGACACAGGTCCTGGCTCAAACACGGGTGTGTAATGACACCTCACCTTATCCATTGCTGGAATTCCCTCTGCAGAGGTTTCATCTGCTGTGTTCAATTTCCTCTTCTCTGATGCTGAAAGGATTCCTATGTGACAGTATTTTGAAATTTGTGGCTTCTACCTTGAATTTACCTCAGTTTCTCAAAATCAGGACACAAAACTTATTATTTCTAAAATACAAAGATATCAAATAACTTATTGGAATTTGACAATCAAATACCCTACTATACACCATAACCTCTACCCTGGCAGCCTCTGAGAGTTTCACTTTCATCTCTTTCTAGGAGAGGAAATCTATTTCTCTATGTCCGTTTAGACTCTAATAATCAGATGACAGTCAAAGTCCAAAGTCTCTTGACTTTGTAATTCAAACAACTGCTTATCCCACAGTGCTTATTAGATCATGGCTTCAACATGCCTTGGGACTGTGGTCACTTGTCATTCCAGAATGAAGGAATCATCTACTGGCAAGGAAAGATAAGAATAAATGAGACAGAAATGGAGTGGGAAATCCCACATCTTGCTACATCATGTACATGGCATCTGTGGATCGTGATTGAAGTTATGTGGACTCCAAAGAATTGTGTCAACTCAAACTTTCTATCTCTGTGTTCTGAAGAACAGATAGTCTTTGTCTAGTCTTTGCTATATTTCTGTCAAGAGTATAGGATGGGTTTCCAGTACAACTTAGCTGTCATCTCCATGTTTCATTGTGAATCAGTTCTCTTTAACTCTGCTGCAAAGCTCCATGTTGACCTACATGTTGCATCTCAGTGTCTACAAAGGTAGTACAATGTGGACAATGCCATCAAGTTCTGCTTCAATCTTGGGATATGGCATGACCCAATAGTAAGGTTTCCTTTTTCTCTTGGTTCTGGCATTAGACAAAGGTTCCTAGAAGTGTAGTTTTGACATGAACATCTACAATGGTCTCTCACCATTCAAATGAAATTTCACATCCACAAGATAGAGATTTCCTTGGATATGGTCTTGGCTCAGAGCACATTTATTGTTGGCTCAATGTACCAGGATTGCCAATATTGACCTTAATCTCTCTGACAATTACAGCAGATTTCATGTAGTCTATAAATTTAAGGTCACTGTGGTCTTAGAATGAGAATGGCACCTATAGGCTCATAAAAATGGAAGGTTTAGGCACCACTTGGTAGGAACTGTTTGGGAAGGATTAGAATGTGTGGCCTTATCGTAAGAGCTGTGTCATTGGGACTGGGCTTTTTATATAGAAAATTGTGAGCTATTCCCAGTTATCTTTATCTACCTCCTATTGTGGATAAATATGTAAGCTCTCTGCTACTGCTGAAGGACCATGCCTACCTTCCTGATACTATGCTGCCTAGCAGAGGACTTTGCACAATGAAACAGTGAGTCATGAATTATTAATGCACTGTCTCACAGCAATTAAAAAGACACCCAGTTCTGTGGTTTTCTAATGGAAAAGAGAAAGAACATGTACTCATCTCAGATCAGACTCTAATGACTGACATAGCAAAGATTCCATTGTAGTCCCTATCTTCAAGAATCAGTGAGTTTATTGGGGTTGCCAGCAGGAGAATGATTGAGGGATTAAAACAGAAACAGGGAAAACTCATATACACGTGCATCAGCAGTACTAAAAATCGGAACTCAGGTTACCTGCATGCCTACAGCTCAGTGTATGACTTGCAGGTAGCTCCATTGATGATCTGTCTCCTCCTTTACAATCCTTACTGTTTATATTGCCTCCAGCAGGTCTTTTTGTGAATCTTGTAGAGGTTGGGAAATCCCCAAGGCCTATCACATGCATCCTTCCCAGGAGATAATGAGACCCCTCCAGAATGAAATGATTCCCTTCAGAGGATATTGCTACTGGCCACATTGCATACACAGTCCCAACAGAGAGAATAATGAACACTTCTATTGAGCACTACTTATACTGTCAAGGTAAACCTCCAAAGTTTGGAGATATATACATTCAGATTGTATCTTCTTTCCTCAAGAAGCAACTACTATATTTCCCCAACAGACATTAGCAGAAGTTTGTCTCCTAGGTCATTTGAGATCTCATCAATGGACTGTCATGCCATTGGAATGACTGAGTTTGAAGCCGGGTAAAGCACAGGTGACTTCATCAGCGATAAGTGTCCTGGGAGTGAGTTAGAGATGTACTTATCTTTTTTACCATACCTTACCTTGGAACATGGAGGTTACATGAACATGATGGATAGGAATCTGGAGAGTCCTCACAGATCAATCTGGACATGAGGTGATACTTAAATGACTAACATCCAACTTGTCCTGATTCCCTTTGTGTTTGCTTAACCACTTCTCAGTCCTCTACCCTTCTTTCACATTTACAAGAATTCTTGTGTTCATAAACCATCTATTAAGTTTGTGGGACAAGCACATTTCCATATCAGCCTGTGCCTGTCCTTTGACATCTCGTTCGCAGTCTTAATTCCTCTATGCATTTTATAAGTGGTTTATCCTATTATAGAGAAATATATTGTTTAGTAGCCTCACTATAGTTTCCTACTTTCTGCAATATCAGTCATTTCTTGTGGAAATCTTGTTTTGGTATTTGCATATGTCTCATTGTTATGCATGAGGCTGTAACTTGGCCTAAGCCCTAGAACATCATGTTAGTGTCTGATTTGTTTAAAGACAAATTATTTCCTTAGCCATATGTAAGACACCAGTCTATCAAAAATGTAGAGACCCAAATGGGTCTTTAGTTTGTAATGTATCTAAGTGGGTGTGGGAGAAATCCATGTGTTCTTTAACTTGTTCTAACTCCAGGGTCCTCAGAGTGGCATTCCATGCCTCTTTCAGTTGTCATGTTCACTCAGAATGTGCTGACTCTTCTCTGTACATGCATTTTCCTTTTGGGCCACCACTTCACCAAAACCAACATGGAAACTTATTATTAATTAGGACAGCTCAGCCTATAGCTAAGGCTTGTCTACTATCTCTCATAACATTAATTAATCTATTTCTCATCATCTACACGTTTCACGTGACTTGTAGTGTTTACCTATCCTCCTCCATGTCTTGCTTCCTTGGAATCTTCCTGGGGACTCTGCCTTTCTTCTTCTCAGCACTCTCTGTCCAGAAGTCCAGGCTATTGACTGTTTAGCTTTTAATAAACCAATCAGAAGGTGCCTTGTCAAAGACACATCCTCACAGTGTACAAAAAGATTATTCCACAACACCTCTCCTACAGTAATCTCTCAGCCTGAAATGGGCCCCAAAGTGACAAACTTTTAAATACTTATCCAGTCCAATACCTAGTCATCCTTCCCTTTAGCACATGTGATACTCCCATGAAACTCACTATCCATTAAGCTATTCTGATAACAGGTATTACTGAACAGTTTGAGGGATGCAATTAGTTATCTCAGATACTTCTCCTCCTGAGGTCACAAGGCTTTGATGAACCATTATTGAGTGTCCAGTTACCTTAAAGGAACCCAGTGCAAATGCACAGACTGGAACCTGGGCTGCTTTGTTGTCCTCACGTCCTGAGGTGAGGGAGACCAGGGAGGACTGCCTGGGGTGGCTGCAGGGGGTTCCTGAGCAGGAGGTACCATGTTGGAAGTAGGAGAGCATTCATTCTGCACCTCTTTACCCTTCTGAAACCCTAATCATCCCATAGCCTAGAAGCCTGGGAGGCCAGACCCCAACTCACAGTGGCTCTAAGGTGTAGGACCACTTTTTCTCTGCTGGAAGGTCCCTTAGCTGTGTGGTTCTTAAGTTAGAAAAGCTATACTGGGTCCCAGGTCTAGCTCTTTGTACGTCTCGAAGCCAGCTTCCTCTGTGATTGGATGTTTCCTCTGTCCTTGAAATTTCTTTGCTGTACGACTGTGATCTGCCTTGATTTCTACCTCAACACACCTGGCTACTCTTATTTCTATTTCTACTTTTCAATACATAGAAACAATTGCTTTTGGAGTATTGATGTGGTGAGATATTGTATACCCCAATAAAACTTATCTGCGGATCAGAGGACAGGACCAGCCACTAGATTAGAAATAGAGGCAAGACAGTAGTGTCAAACACAGTTAATCCTATCACTCAGGAGGCAGAGGTCTGTCAGGATCTCTGTGAGTTCAACGCCACACTGGAAACAGAGCCAGGCAGTGGTGGCACACACCTTTAAACCCGTACTTGAGATCTCATGCCTTTGTTGGGAAGCACACATCACAGAATCCCAGGAAGTGATTTCTTGGCAGAGAAAGGAATATAGGGTGTGAGGAAATAGGAACTCACTTTCTTGAGGCTGAGGATTTTGTAGAAGTAAGAACATGGCTGGCTTATGCTGTTCCTCTGATCTTTCAGCTTTTGCCCCAATATTTGGCTCTGTTTTTTTTTTATTTTTTATTTTTATTAATAAGACCTTTTAAGACCTGTGTTACATATTACTAATATTACATATATATGAACATATGCTGTTAAAGGTAATATCTGGTGTCCATACATCAGCCCCAAGCATGTACATCTCTAAGGGTCCTCTAACTCTCCTGTCCTGAGTCAGTGCCCCTGACTTTGAGACAAGAAAAAGATCAACAAACAGCCATAGAAGACATTGTGTGATTAAGAACAGCTAACAGGCTGCCTAGGTCCAACTGAGTTTACTATTGTTTATCTCCTGGTATAAAAGGTGATTATATAAATGCAAATGACAAATTGAGTCATTTTATCCCAGCTTGGAATATGTAGTTCAGCCATAAGTGCGTGAAGCCTCAGGTTTACTGTGGAAGCAAGGTTGTACCGGGCATAAACATTTAAAAGGATGGTCACCATCAAAGCCATAGGAAAGCATCTGCAACCAAGATTTCCTTAGAGTGACCCCAGAAATCAGTCCAGGTTTATATGGCTGCTGCTCACTAGGCAGCCAGGTAACCACATGGAGTCAAATCTTTGGTCACATCTTGGAGCCTATGAGCCTGCTGGAGACAGGTACAAACTTCAGATGCAGTGCAGTCTGTGGTTAGAGCCACAGACCCAAAGTAGCTTCTGTGACTACCACAGCATAGACTATGAGTGCTGCAGTGACACCTGGAACCTCACAAGTCAGCACCTCACATCCATTATGATCTCACATCACAGGAACCAGGGCCCAAGTCCCTGCACTGTCCCCACTATTTCAGTACTGGGCTATGCTCAGGGGACCTCACACCTTACTATAGAGATATTTGTACCTCTTGTTTATTGCTTGTAAATTCTCAATTGTAAAGAACCTGAATCAATGTACATGTCCATGAACATATCAATAGAAAATAAGTTGGTTAAAGGCTTTATCATTTTGGAGGACAGGATGGGAGGGTGGGGGAGGCATGGAGTAGGGCAGTGGGAGGAGGGATGAGAGGGGGATCTGTGCTTGGTTTTTGAAATGAATAAAAAAATTTTAATAAAAAAACATAAATTGCTAAATATAAATGTATATGTTTATTATACACACAGAAAGAGGATACTATTTAACTCTATAAATGGAGAATCACAAAATTTACAGAAAAATCAATGGACATGTAATGTATGTAAGTTGAGATCACACAGTCATATGAAGAAATACACTGCTTGTTCTCCCTGATATGGTTAGTATAGACAGTAATATATGTATATATGTGAAGAAATGTGTATGTGGGTATACTAAGTAGAAAAGAGAATAAGCATTAAATATTAGGGGATGAGGAAGATTTAAAGCAGGTAATGAACATGGGTTGTCAAAGAGAACATAAGATAACTGATTTTCAATTTCCAACTCTGTTGTGGATTTTAGTTTTCAGGGTGTATAAGTGCATAAAATACATTCAGTGAAGACAGTGTCAAATCCAATGTGAATGCCTCAAAGAGTTTGTTCTGAATGTACCTCCTAACTGCACAGAAGCTCATGATCTGTGTAGTGTAACAGGCTGTCTCTCGGGCCACCAACCAGCTCCCAAATCATAACATGGAGACTTACTAGTTATAAATGCTTGGCCTTAGCTTAGGCTCATTTCTTGCTAGCTCTTATAACTTAACCTGTTTCTTTTCATGTACATTTTGCCTCGCAGCTCTTTACCCATTTTTCTGTATATCTTGCTTTCCTGCTGTCTCCATGGCTGTCTGGAAGCTGCCTGGCTTCTGGCCCTGGGGTGTTCCCCTCTTCCTTGTTCTCTTCTCCTTTTCCTCCATCTTAGATTTCTCTTCTTATTTATACTCCCTGCCTGTGAGTCTCACCTATCCCTCTCCTACCTAGGAATTGGCCATTCAGCTTTTTATTAGACCAATCAGGTGCCTTAGGCAGGCAAGGTGAAACAAATGCAACACATTTTTACATGGTTAACAAGGAAGCAGAAACAAATGTAACATACCTTTACTCAGCTAAAGTAAGAGTCCACACCAGAAGCAGATGTAACACATCTTTGCCTAGTTAAAATAATATTCCACAACACTGTAGTTTTCAGGTATTGTTAATTTTCATATATGAATATTTTTTACTTTCAAAATAATGGGGTTTAAAATTAAAGAGAGAAATGAGAAATACTAGCAGAGATTATGAGTCCCTGCTGTACTATTTAATCCTGAGATTGTAGGTTTCTGCTATATTTACTCCTGAGTGTGTCTGTCTCTGCTATTCTATCTACTCCTAAGTGTGTGAGCCTTTGCTGTATTATTAACTCCTGTGCATGTCTCTGCTAAACTATTTACTCCTGACAGTGTGTCTTTGTTATATTTCTCACATGAACTCGTACCTTGAGAAGCTTTCCCCACAGACTGTAACTCTAAAAAATCATTCTCTTGTAGAACAAATGTATATCCATTAAGGTCATTTCCATTCATAAGGAAATCTCCCTCTGTGTTCTGAAGAAATTAATAACTAGGTCTCCAGAGACTCCAAGCAGGAAGAAAACATTGACTCACATACACATAGCAAACCTGACTTTTGTTCAAGGTGTGTTGCTGACTACATCTTAGACATTTTAAAAAACAGAACCTTCCCACACAGCAACCTTTCTTTGTTATTATCTATGATGAAATTTAAAGCTGGAAGCATAGACTATCTTTGCCATGCAATCTAGAGGGTTATTCATTTGTTTTCTCTAATGAGCATATGGCATTTACATATTAATAAACTTCTTAGAATAATACAATGATAGAAGGTATGTGATATGTTGTAACTTTCTATCCACCAAGTTCATTTGACAGTTACATTCCTTCCCTAACTTTCATAATGACGAATAACTGTGACCACTATGCATGTAGGAGGGAGATAAGGGAAGGTGGTGAGGCCACTGTTCATCATCACTCTGTTGTACTCTGTGGGGTGGCTACCCCCAACCCCACAGTTCCCCAGAGTTTTCTTGAGTGAAAGCAGAAAGAAATATTAAATAGAAGGATTTAGAGTGTAGAGATAAACAGATAGAAAATATAGGATAGTCTCGAGAAGGCCTGGAACCTATTTCAACAGGCCAGGATCATCTCTGCCCTAGGGTATTTATAGAGACGCCAAGGGGTAGAGCAAAAGACCTCCCCCCCAGCACAGCCAAGTGCAGACCATCTCAGACACCTGCACTGAGGCCCGTCATCCTAATCATCCTCTCTATGCAGACCTGCTGGGTAAAGCCACGAGGAACCTGAAAATGGGCTCCCACAGTACTCATGGCAAAGCCAAGTGGAAGATACAAGGTGAGTCTGGCTGTATCTCATCTCTTCAAAGCGATCCCTGTCTCTTTCCTGAGGTTACATTGATATAGGGCTCTTTTTTTTTTATTAATTAATTCATTTATTTTTCTATTATCAACTTGATACAGTATAAAATTTTATCTAAATAGTGAAATGTTTCGTTGAGGCTTGCTCAGTCATTGAGTAAAACCAAAACTTATTATAAGCTACAGTCATCAAACAATCAGACTGCAACCCATAGAATCATGGGGAGGGCTAGGACATAGGGCTCCTTAGTCCTCACATCTGAGCCCTTCTACGCGTCCACTCACTTGACCTCACGACGCCTTCCCAGTAGGATGCTGACCCTCTGGAAACTTTATGATGGCCACACTCGTGTGTTGTAATCACTGCTAAAACAGGTCAAGTTTGGACATATCCCAAACCAACAAGGTTTAAAATGATATTTAGAGAGAATTTAATACATGAATGTTAAATGTTTTTGAGGTGGTATTGTGTTCACCAAAATATTGTGCACCCTAATAAACTTATCTGGAGTCAGAGACAGAACAGCCACAATATTAAACATAGAGGGTAGGCAGTGGTAGCGCACGCCTTTAATCCTAGCGTTCCAGAGGCAGAAATCCATGTGTTCGAGGATACAGCCAAGCATGGTGACTCACGCCTTTAATCCCAGAAAGTGAGCCTTTAATCCCGGGGAGTGATGGTAGAAAGCAGAAAGGTATATAAGGCGTGAGGACCAGAAACTAGAAGCATTTGGCTGGTTAAGCATTTGGTTGGTTAAGCATTTGGCTGGTTAAGCTTTCAGGCTTTGGAGCAGCACAGTTCAGCTGAGATTCATTTGGGATGAGGACTGAGAGGCTTCCAGTCTGAGGAAACAAGATCAGCTGAGAAGTTGGCCAGGTGAGGTTAGCTGTGGCTTGTTCTGTTTCTCTGATCTTCCAGTGTTCACCCCAATACCTGGCTGAGGTTTGATTTTATTAATAAGAACCTAGTAAGATTCCTGCTACATGTTCTATTCAAATCTACACATTCCTTCACCTATTGCTTCTTACCCTTACTTAAAAACACTTTACTCTCCCACCTTGGTGGGCTTTTTATTTATTGTTTCTTCATTCTCCTAAGTGCTCCCTCCATGTGGAGGGGTGTAGGACAGTTGACTAGAACCTGGAAGCCTATCAGATTGACTGTCTCTCTACTGACAATTGATGGCTCCTCCACAGTATGAGTGACACACAGTGAGGCCCTTAGGCACCCATGCTTATTGTACGGTGGGGTTTAGCCTGTGTACGTGTTCTCCAGGAAATAATAGCCACAGTGTGCTCAAGCATGAAATGGTACTGACTTTTCTAGCAATGTTTCACTGTTCTATAATTTTTTAAAGATTCATTTTTTATGTATACAGTGTTCTGTCTGTCTGTCTGCATGCCAGAAGAGGGCACCATATCTCATTATAGATGGTGGTGAGATACCACATGGTTACTGGGAATTGAACTGGGGACCTCTGGAAGAGCAGTCAGTGCTCTTAATCTCTGAGCCAACTCCAGCCTCTAGACATGTTTTAACATTCCTACTGTCTCACTGCACACATCTACTATATCTGCCTCTGACATTGTTTCTAACTCTTTTCCCTCAGTATTCTCTGACTTTTGGCTTTAGATGTGTGTACGGGACCTCTTTTAAAATGTGTGACATGTATGACACTTTTAGATTTAGGTCCTCCACAGGCTAATATTCTCTACATTTTGACCAATGTGTGTTTTTGTATTAGTCTCCATCTACTACACAATTAATATTTTCTGGTGGGTGTTGAGAGATGCCTGACTCTGGGATAAGATGAGAACTTGGGTTCTTGACTCTGGTATAAAGATGAGAACTTGGGTTCCTGACTCTGTGGGATAAATATGAGAATGTGGGATCCTGACTCTCTGAAATAAAGATGAGAACTAGAGTTCATTTAGTTATTATCTACTTATTACAATAACAGCATTAAATTTTCCCCAGGGCTTACCACCTAGCCAGGCAAAAATATATCACCAAATTAATATCACATTAGTTACTGTTTGTGGAATAAGCATTAAATCCAATCAGTAAATGATTGGTTCTTCTCATGACTTTCCTGCCATTATTGCTCTATGGGCACTGTTGTTTTTTATCTGAGGCACAGCATCTGCACCTGAGACTATCTCTGCTTCAGCTGATGATTTTATCTCTTCAGCTGTAGCTGCTGCCTTGCTGCTGAGGCCTTAGACTGGAAGAGCCTTCCTGTAGTTTTAACTAAGAGCCTTCCTGTAGTTTTCACTAAGTCATTGTCCTTCTATTTTACCAATAAGGATTCTGGAGCCAGATGCTGGGTGAAAACCTGCTAGCTCAGAGAGACGGAGATTCTTACACACAAGGGGAGATATTACAGGAGCTTGGATGACTCCACTGGGAAAAACAACAGTAACTATGCCACAGCCCAGATCTCAGACTCCATGCACTCAATGGACAATGTTAGGGCATGGTAAAGGTTTTATGGAGCATTTATAGTTAGAGAAGAGGCTCATTAATCAAGGCAAGTTTCAAACATATTGCTTGAACAAACTGTTGGATGTTACAGCAAAGAGAAGTCTCTACTCTTCTCGGATGACATGCTTAGCATTTTTGCTCTTGGAAGTTAATGTTCATGTTAACATTCAAAATAATTAACTTAATATTCTCTATTACGGATTCATTTGAGTTGGATAAGATGAGAATTGTTAGTAAAGATTTACCACACTTCACACACTCATGGAGTTTGTAGTCAGAATGAACCATTTGATGTGTTTTAAGGGTTGAAGTAAACTTTTTAAGGCATTTGTAGGATTTCTCTCCCCTATGAACTATATTATGTGCTGAGAAAGGATATAAAGATTAACAAAGTCTTTGTCACATTTCCCACAATTTTAGGGATTATCTTCAGAATCAATTTCTTTTTCTTTTTTATGTTGTCTAAGGGATGAAGATGAAAAGAACCACCTCTCACACTCTTCACACTTTCAGGGTTTCTCACCAGTATGAACTCTCTTGTGTCTCTTAAGGCCTGAGTGATACCAAAAGGCTTTGTGACATTCTTCACACTTAAAGGGTTTCTCTCCTGTATGAACTCTCTTGTGTCTCCTAAAGCCTGAGTGATAATGAAAGGCTTTACCACATTCTTCACACTTGTATAGTTTCTCTCCAGTATGAAGTGTTTGATGTTCCTGAAGATCCCTAGAACAGGAATATCGTTTGCCACATTGTACACAGGTATAAGGATTGACTTCAGAATGGATAATTTGATGTCCTCTAAGTGATAAATATGAGTAAAAACATCTGCCACACTCTTCACACTTGTAAGGGTTATCTTCATAGTGAATTATTTGATGTCGTCTAAGGGATGAAGCTGAGCAAACACATTTGCCACACTTTTCACACTTGTATGGTTTCTCTCCCGTATGAAATACCTTGTGGTTCTTAAGTCCTGAGTGATAAAGAAAGGTTTTGTGACATTCCTCACACTTGTATGGTCTCTTTCCATTATGAATTGTACGATGTTTCTGAAGGGTTGCATAATGGGAAAACCTTTTGCCACACTCCTCACACTTGCAGAAATTGTCTTTCGAGTGAACTGTTTGATGTTGTTTAAGGTATGAAAGTGAGTAAAAACATTTGCCACACTCTTCACACTTGCATGGTTTCTCTTCAGAATGAATTCTTTGATGATGCTTCAGGAATGAAGGATCATAAAAAGCTTTGCCACATTTTTCACACTTGTAGGGTTTCTCTCCAGAATGAATTCTTTGATGTTGCTTCAGCATTGAAGGATAATAAAATAATTTGCCACATTCTTCACACTTGTAGGTTTTTTCATCAGTATGATTTTTCTGGTGTATAAAAAGTGATGCGTGAGTATTGAAGGTCTTATGACATTCTATACACATGTAGGATTTTTCTCCAGTATGAAGTCTCTTGTGTATGGAAAGTGCTTTATGAGAACTTAGGCCCTTACCACATTCTTCACACTTGTAGGGTTTCTCCCTTGTATGAATTCTCTGGCGTTGCATAATTAGTGAGTTACAGTCAATGGCCTTGTAAATGTTATAATCATTGGGTTTTGTTCCTGTTGAACAAAAGTTGAAATATGAACAAAGGCTAGGAAATATTCCTCATACTTACAATGCTTATCTTTTTAAAAGGAAACATTTACTCATACATATTGAAGCATTTCAAAATCTATAGGCACTAAGAATAAATGGTAAAATATTATAGGTAGAAATAATCAAAACTTCTCCTAGAATAAGGGCATGACCAAAAAGAACCTAGGCATAATGGCATATTATTCAAAGTTTAATACCTAAGGAAGTTGTAAGGGCATTTTACTAAGAGAAATAAACCCATTAAACAATAGAGATGTTATATGGCCAGACAACCCTAAAATTATAAAGTAATCAAGCTGTGAAAAAGAGAAAGGTAATTGTGACTGTATGGATTTGAGCCATTGTTTAAATAGAACATTTTTATCCTCTACACAGAGCATTATTTCAGTATTAACTGAAAAATTTAGAGTAGTATGTTTTACATTGATGAGAAAAAAAATATAAAATAGAATCCCCCAGCTCTGATTGGACCAAGAGACTCTTCTCCCTGCTTGACAGTCCTATCTCTAGCACCTAGGCTCTGCAGCACAACTTTTGCCCACTCCCCTCATCCCCATCCATTGCTGCCCCAGTTGCCTGCCAGCAGGGAAGACCCAGGCAGGCACATCTCCCCACCAACACCCCCCATCAGACCCTGTATTCTACAACACCACTCCCTCCCACAAACCCAGCCATCTCCCTTCAACCTCATTGACTCCCTGAGACATAGAATCCACCAGCTCTGATTGGACCAAGAGGTGAGTGACTCTTCTCCCAGTCAGAAAGTCCTGTCTCTAGGACCTAGGCCCCAGGGAACAATCATGACTCCACCCCCAACCCCACTCATTGCAGGCCACTAGGGAAGACTCCAGTGGGCAGATCTCCCTACCTATATCCCCCAGGGGACTCTGCAATCTACAAGAACAACTCCTTCCCCTCAAACTCACCCATCTCCCTGTGACCTCAGCAGCTCCCTGAGACACAGAATCTACCAGCTTGATTGCACCAAGAATTCCGATTGGACCAAGAGTGCAGACTGGACGAAGAATGACCCCCTGAGACACAGACACAGCCAGCACAGATTGGATCAAGGGCAGTTCCTTCAGACACAGACACCTCTTGCACCAACTGGAGGAGGAGACTGGTAGACACCAGTGCAAGAATACAGCATAAAGAGCCATATGGCACCACCAGAACCTAGTGGTTGTACAACAGCAAGACATGAAAATCACAACATTGAAGAAGCAGAAGGAAAGAACCTTAAAAATAATTTTGTGAAGGTGATACAGGCCTTTAAAGAGGAAATGAAAAATTCCCTTAAAGAAATTGAGGAAAAGGCAAACAAAAAATTAGAAGAAATCAATAAATCCCTTAAAGAAAGCCAAGAAAACCAAGAAAAAGCAATCAAACAGGTGAAGGGAACAGTTCGAGACTTGAACATTGAAATAGAGGCAATAAACAAAACACAAACCAAGGCAATGCTGGAAATGGAAAATCTGGGTAAATGAACAGGAACTACAGACACAAGCATAACCAACAGAATGCCAGAGATGGAAGAGAGAATCTCTGGTGTTGAAGATATGGTAGAGGAAATAGATTCATCGGTAAAAGAAAACATTAAAGCCAAAAAAGTCATAACACAAAATGTCCAGGAAATCTGGGACACCATGAAAAGACCAAACCTAAGAATAGTAGGGATAGAAGAAGGAGAAGAATACCAGCTCAAATGCACAGAAAATATATTTAACAAAATCATACAAGAAAATTTTCCTAACCTAAAGAAGGAAATGCCTATGAAGATACAATAAGCTTACAGAACACCAAATAGACTGGGCCCTCCCCCCGCCCCCCCCCCCCCAAATCCCCTCACCACATAATAATCAAACCACTAAACATACAGAATAAATAAAGAAAAAAACAAGAATATTAAGAGCAGCAAAGGAAAAAGGCCAAGTGACTTATACAGGCAGACACATCAGAATAACACCCAGCTTCTCAATGGAGACTCTGAAAGTCAGAAGGTCCTGGACAGATGTAATGCAGACACTAAGATCACAGATGCCAGCCCAGACTACTATACCATGCAAAAATTTCAATCACCAAAGACAGAGTACACCAGATACTGTAAGGCAAAACCAGATTTAAACAATACTTATCCACAAATCCAGCCCTACAGAAAGCACTAGAAGGAAAATTCCAACCTAAGAAAGTTAGATGCACCCATGAAAACACAGGCAATAGATAATCCCACAGCAGCAAATCCCAAAGAAGGGAAATACCATCAAAAAATAACAGAAATTAAAAATCACTGGTCATTAATATCCCTTAATATCAATGGACTCATTTTTCCTATAAAAAGACACAGGCTAACAGAATGGATACAAAAACAGGATCTATCCTTCTGCTGCATACAAGAAACACAGCTCAAATTCAAAGACAGACACTACTGCAGAGTAAAAGGCTGGGAAAAGTCTTTCCAATCAAATGGTCTTAAGAAGCAGGCTGGTGTAGCTCTTGTAATGTCTAACCAAATAGACTTCAAACTAAAATCAATCAAAAGAGATTGGGAAGAACATTACATGTTCATCACAGGAGAAATCCATCAAGATGAAGGCTCAATTCTGAACATATATGGCCCAGATACAAGGGCACCCATATATTTAAAAGAAACATTACTAAAGCTTAATTTGCACATCAAAGCCCACACACTACTAGTGGGAGACTTCAACACCCTATTCTCACAAATGAACAGATCTACCAGACAGAAACTTAACTGAGAAATAAGGGAACTAACAGTTGTTATGAGTCAAATGAACTTAATAGACATCTATAGAACATTCCACCCAAACAAAAAACAATATATTTTCTTCTCAGCACCCCATGGAACCATCTCTAAAATTTACCACATACTCAGTAACAAAGCAAATCTCAACAGATATAAAAAAATGGAGTAACCTCCTTTATTTTATTGGACCACCATGGCTTAAAGTTAGAATTCAACAACAACATAATTTATATAAAGTCTATAAACTCATGGAATCTGAATGATGTCCAGCTGAATTACCAATGGGTCAAGGAAGAAATAAAGAAATTAAAGACTTCCTAGAATTCGATGAAAATGAATGTACAACATACCCAAACTTATGAGACACTATGAAAGCAATGCTAAGAGGAAAATTCATAGCATTAAATGCCTACATAAAGAAGTTGAAGAAATCTCACACTAGCAACTTAACAGCACACCTGAAAATTCTAGAACAAAAAGAAGCAAAGTCACCTAGGAGGAATCGACACCAGGAAATAATTAAATTGAAGGCTAAAATCAATAAAGTAGAAACAAAGAGAATACAACGAATCAATGAAACAAAGAGATGGTTTGTGATGGTATTGTGTTCCCCAAAATATTGTGCACGCTAATAAACTTATCTGGCATCAGAGACAGAACAGCCACTAGATACAGAGGCTAGAAAATGGTGGCACTCACACCTTTAATCCTAGCATTCCAGAGACAGAAATCCCTGTGGATCTCTGTGAGTTCAAGGCCACATTGGAAACAGCCAGGCGTGGTGACACATGCCTTTAATCCCAAGAAGTGAGCCTTTAATCCGAGGGAGTGATGGCAGAAACAGAAAGATATACAAGGCGTGGAGACCAGAAACTAGAAGCATTTGGCTGGTTAAGCTTTTAGGTTTTTGAGCAACAGTTCAGCTGACAGCCATTCAGATGAGGACTAAGAAGCTTGCAGTCTGAAGAAACAGGATCAGCTGAGGAATTGGCAAGGTGAGGTAGCTGTGGCTTGTTCTGCTTCTCTGATCTTCCAGCATTCACCCCAATAACTGGCTCCAGGTTTGCTTTTATTAACAAGACCCTTTAAGATTCCTGCTACAATGGTTCTTTGTGAAAATCAACAAGATAGACAAACCCTTATCCAAACTAACCAAAAGGCAGAGAGAGAACATCCAAATTAACAAAATCAGAATTGAAAAGGGGGATATAACAACAGACAATGAGGAAATCCAGAAAATCATCAGGTCATACTTCAACAATCTGTACTCCACAAAATTGAGAAATCTAAAAGAAATGGACCATTTTCTAGATAGGTACAACATACCAAAATTAAATCAATACCAGATAAACAATTTAAGTAAAATGTATAACCACTAAGGAAATAGAAACAGTCATTAAAAGTCTCTAAACCAAAAAAGCTCAAGACGAGATGATTTCAGCACTGAATTCTAGCAGAATTTCCAAGAGCTAATACCAATACTCTTTAAATTGTTCCACACAATAGAAACAGAAGGAACATTGCCAAACTTTTTATGAGGCTATAGATACCCTGATACCCAAACCACACAAAGACGCAGCAAAGAAAAAGAATTACAGACCATTCTCCCTCATGAACATTGATCCAAGAAATCCTCAGTGAAATACTGGCAAACCAAATGCAACACACTTCAAAAAAAAAAATCATCCACCATGATCAAGTATGCTTCATCCCAGAATGGATGGCTGAATATAGAAAAATCTGTCAATGTAATGCTGAAAGAAAAAAAAGAAAAACCCTAAAGACTTTGACAAAATTCCACATCTCTTCATGATAAAGGTCTTGGAAAGATTAGGAATACAAGGAACACGTAAACATAATAAAAGCAATTTACAGCAAGCCAACAGCCAACATCAAACTAAATGGAGAAACTCAAAGGGATTTTACAAAAATCAGGAACAAGACAAGGCTGTCCACTTTCCCCATATCTATTTAATATAGTACTCGAAGTTCTAGCTAGATCAATAAGACAACAAAAGGAGATCAAGGGGATACAAATTGGAAAGGAAGAAGTCAAACTTTCCCCATTTGCAGATGATATGATAATATACATAAGTGACCACAAAAATCCTACCAGGGAACTCCTACAGCTGATAAACACTTTCAGTAATGTGGCAGGATATAAGATTACCTCAAAACAATCAGTAACTCTCCTATAAA